AAAACATCATTTTTGTTTATTTCATATTAGAAAAAACTTGGAAAAGCATTTTCTTAGCAAGTATCGTGGTGAAAAATAGAACAAATTTTTTGCAGTTTTTTGTTATGCACGCAATAGTCGAGTTGAATCAATTTTTGAAGAGAGATGGGCTGCATTGTTGCAGGAATATCCTAATGTCACTAGTTATTTGCAATGTTATCTTTATCCATGTAGAGACTTGGGTATTGTATTTTACACACTGTGCATTTAATGCCAGAATACAAAGTACACAACGTGTAGAGTCATATAATAGTATTATTAAAAATAATGTTAATGGGTCATCTTTACTTACGGAGCTTGAGCATACAATTAAGAGGTTATTAGCAAAAGAGAGCAAATTTATAAAGTTAAATGAAACCATTGGTAAGCTTTCTGTAAGTCAAGATGAAGATTATCATAATCATTACTTTAAAGAAGTTGACATATCATATCAATATTTCTTAGCACCAGCAATTCTTAAACTCCAACGACATGAAATAAATCGCAACATGCATTATCGATGTCATCTATCTAATTTGGAATATGAACTTAAGTAACAGGTATAGATCAGATTTTATGATTATAATTACTTATGTAAGTTACAGTATGTTTTTCTGAAGGCCATTTTCCCAAAAGGACATTTTCCCAAAAACCTTAAACAGAGTTACTATAATTAGACTGAACTTTTTAGGAAAATGTCCTTTCAGAAAAATGGCAATCAGGATAATTTCTGACATCCTCATGCTTATATATAGTTAATTGTTTTTTTTAGGTAACTGTTGAATCACCAAGAGGCATATTTTTTGAAGATATGTTTGATGCATGTGTGATAGAACTCGCGCAGTTAATTGTAGATTTAGATCCAACAAGAATACGTGAACTTTGGCGTATTTCTTCTATTAATAAAAAAAGCAAGCATTTTATTGTATTATATGATAACGCTATGCATCTGTGTACATGCTTGACATTAATTAATTATGGTCTTGTATGTCGTCATTTTTTTGCAACAATGCTTATTTCTTCAATTGCTAAATTTTATATTGGATTTTTACCACGGCGTTGGTATACAAATGTATCAGTTATGGAGGCAGATTCAACACTTTCAAATGTACCAGCAATTTCATTGTTATCAAATAATGGATTTGGTACAGTAGAACATGCAGTAGAACTGGATTTCTCTTATTTA